TGATGCCAGCGTCCTCAACCCAGAAAACAATTACATATATGTACCTCTCTAGCTATGTTGTTATCATGTTTAGTGATGATGCCAGCGTCCTCAACCCAGAAAACAATTACATATATGTACCTCTCTAGCTATGTTGTTATCATGTTTAGTGATGAAGCCAGCGTCCTCAACCCAGAAAACAATTACATATATGTACCTTTCTAGCTATGTTGTTATCATGTTTAGTGATGAAGCCAGCGTCCTCAACCCAGAAAACAATTACATATATGTACCTTTCTAGCTATGTTGTTATCATGTTTAGTGATGAAGCCAGCGTCCTCAACCCAGAAAACAATTACATATATGTACCTTTCTAGCTATGTTGTTATCATGTTTAGTGATGATGCCAGCGTCCTCAACCCAGAAAACAATTACATATATGTACCTTTCTAGCTATGTTGTTATCATGTTTAGTGATGAAGCCAGCGTCCTCAACCCAGAAAACAATTACATATATGTACCTCTCTAGCTATGTTGTTATCATGTTTAGTGATGAAGCCAGCGTCCTCAACCCAGAAAACAATTACATATATGTACCTTTCTAGCTATGTTGTTATCATGTTTAGTGATGAAGCCAGCGTCCTCAACCCAGAAAACAATTACATATATGTACCTTTCTAGCTATGTTGTTATCATGTTTAGTGATGAAGCCAGCGTCCTCAACCCAGAAAACAATTACATATATGTACCTTTCTAGCTATGTTGTTATCATGTTTAGTGATGATGCCAGCGTCCTCAACCCAGAAAACAATTACATATATGTACCTTTCTAGCTATGTTGTTATCATGTTTAGTGATGAAGCCAGCGTCCTCAACTCAGAAAACAATTACATATATGTACCTCTCTAGCTATGTTGTTATCATGTTTAGTGATGATGCCAGCGTCCTCAACCCAGAAAACAATTACATATATGTACCTTTCTAGCTATGTTGTTATCATGTTTAGTGATGAAGCCAGCGTCCTCAACCCAGAAAACAATTACATATATGTACCTCTCTAGCTATGTTGTTATCATGTTTAGTGATGAAGCCAGCGTCCTCAACCCAGAACACAATTACATATATGTACCTCTCTAGCTATGTTGTTATCCACAAGTGGACTAAGACTTAAAAGAACCGAACAAAAACAAATATTCAGCATGGAATGTTAAAAATGTGGTACAGCCGCAATTGATTATAGTTGCAACGGCGAAGTCCGGATAATAAGTAAAACGTTATTTCATAACAAAATGCAAGAGAATTATGATAGTTATTATGTATATTATTGCAGGAAATACATTTGTAAATCCATTTTAAGCGTTTTAACGCTTTTATTGGGAAATCCTAGGACATATGTACTTTTGTCTTTATTAATAATTATAACTCGCTGATACATTAAAGATATAGCTAACAACTTATTCCTGATTATGTATAACATGTTATATGTGCCATATATTCATATGTTTTGTATACAAATCTGTACATATTTATCCGGAATAAATTTATTATCATTATTATTTCCTATGGATAAGAAGTGACGGCACATATAGAAAATCCCACTGTGACCTTACAGATTTGTTGATCAGCAGGGACTGCGGAATATGACTCTCTACTGATGCAGTATCAAACAATGTGCAGCCCGCCAAGACTACTTACATGTTATCAAACGTTATTAAACAAAGCATAAAACAATGCTATGAAATATTTCAGAATGCATTGGTTTCGAAGAAAACCAACTCACAATATCCCAGAACTTGCTTCAGAAACAGAAGTTACATAAAGAGTAGTTGTGGTATGTAGTATATCTTTCACTCGATTTGGTGAATTTTTGTTGTTATTTCTGGATGATAACTAAAGGGAATGAAAGAAATACTATGTATAACAAACGCGAAGAGTTTGTGCGTCTTGTTTCTACCACAGTGAAAAAGCTATTCCGAAGTTGAACTGATCTGTTCTGTATCCACCTGTGTTTTGTTTACGTCATCTGTTGGGGTGTAATGATATGACCTTTAGTGAAATGACGACAATTAATTAAAAATAACCTTACAATTTCAGAAATAAAGGAAGTAACTTATAAATTATGACTTGAAATAAACTCTGGTTTATTATCTATAAAGCAAAAAAGAAGTAAAAAAAAAAAAAAAAAAAATCGCGAATTACTTATTGCTCGTTGTAATTTCCGTGAGTGTGTGAAACACCCTTTCGGTCAAAGTTCATTTTTTAGCCAATCAAAACATGCTAAATTGTTATATCACATGTGGTATAGATATGTATGTTTGCACTACAGTTGGAATTATCAATAGATGCATTGAGAGTTTAATAACACCCATCTATTGTAATTGAAAGACACATACATCAGGATAATTTCGGAAATAAATGTGCTAAAATGACAGAATAAATTATTGTGAATTCTGAAATTGAAGCTCTATTTGCTTGGGACAATATTAGAACGGTTATAGAAATATCTTAACCAGAACATCTTACATGTGTTTTCCTGTATGTACGGTATAACAGTTGAATGAGAACTTTCAAGTCCATGAATATGGATAAGAAGGGAACCATCATGATTATCACCCTTCGGATATGTAAAGAGGGAGTGGAAATGACATTCTCAAAATGTTTGGACCATAATATCTTATCGTCAATTTCAACCATTATAAGGATATCTTTAGTTTTAACTTTACTTTAAATCTCTGGTTAAAATAGGTTAAGGTTCGCAAGAATATAAGTGCATTTACACAATAAGAATGGCTGCCTGTGACCTTTATTCGCATTCAAATCTGCATAAGATTCATTATATAATCTCAGTCTTTGTATGTGACCTTTTATATCTTGCCTGAGATCATAATACCGAACACATATGGCTATTAAAACACCAACACTATCACAGTCCAGTAAACATGAACGGAGTAATTCTGTTGATTACACGTGCAATTAGTGTTATTACAGTACCTACCTTTCTACTCTAATTCACAATTATTTAGAATCACGTAATAATTACACCTTGGCCCGCTGAACATATGATAGTGATCAAATGTGTAGAGATAATTGCTTGTATTTCGGTGGGTGTGTTTTACCTTTTGCCATATATATATGTAGATTAAACAAAGACATATCGGTTTTATTTCATAATGAAAAGGTTAATAGTGTAAATGAAAGACACACATTTAGACGTAGTGGAAAGAAACAAATCTAGACATAAGTGAAAGACACAAATCTAGACATAAGTAAAAGACACAAATTTAGACATAAGTGAAAGACACAAATTTAGACATAAGTGAAAGAAACAAATTTAGACATAAACGAAAGACACAAATGTAGACATAAATGAGAGACACAAATTTAGACATAAATGAGAGACACAAATGTAGACATAAATGAGAGACACAAATTTAGACATAAGTGAAAGACACAAATTTAGACATAAGTGAAAGACACAAATTTAGACATAAGTGAAAGACACAAATGTATACATAAATGAAAGACACAAATTTAGATTCATTGGGAAATTAAAGGATATTTTTTATATTGATACATAACATGGCATAACATTAAATGATGATACAGAAAAGGTCGATATTTTTGTTTGTTTTTTGTTTGCTTTGTTTTTCTTTTTTATTTTCAATTAAAAAAAAAAAAAAAAAACAAGAAAAAAATATATGCCTTTAAAGTGGAGTCGATATAGGAAATCGTCGTCAATTTTACGACTGAATTTCTAGCTTTCCTCAAATAAATACATTTTTGATTCAAGGTTTTTTTTTGCAAAACCACAAAAATAAATAGCTATTGAAAAGAAGGTATTTTTGGCGGTATCGTTGATAAGTATACATTATTCGTATCGGTAATTCAACAGATTAATTCATAAATTATTCATTGTTATGCATATTCAAATTTGATCTAACAACCCCAACAAGGGGAAATGAATATAATGAAAAAAATACTTAATATCGGCGTATTCCTGACTAATTTCTACTAATGAGCTGTACTTAGGTTTGTAGTAGAAAGTACATTTCAAATATATGAATCATAATGTTTTGCTCGCTTGTCTGGTCACATAATTAGTACCCGAGTATAAATACTTCTATTCTGAAACCCCTTCTCATTCGCAGACCGAGGAAGGAACACCACGCTTTTACAAAGTAAGTAAAATATCATTTTGCTGAGTTTCTAACATGAGCTGTCGAGTTTTTGCTTATGATAGGTAAAGTAGAATACTATATACATAGGTTAGTATTTATCAGCCATGTGTATGTTTAGAAGCAAAACTAACGAGAGTAGACTGAAAGAGATTATCAGTATCTTTCTACAAAATATGTTGAAATAAGTAACACCAAAATTTAATTATGTTATATCCGAATGAAGAGTCACTTGATTCGTTAAATTCTGGCATTAAGCGATTGAAGTTGGTAAGTGCGAATGCTACCTCTTAAAAGTTATTCTAATTGTTTGCACCCTATTTCTTAAAAGTAGTCGTTGTGGATGGTGTTTCAGAAACTTTGACACAGAAACCAGTGTTTCGACAGAGGTTGAGATAGGTTGTGGGAAAATTTAATGGTAGCAATAATGACATCATTTGGAAATATTCAATTTTCTTTTTACGAAGTTGGACTTGTTTGATGCTCCCAGTACATCTGTTTGTTCCGTTGTTGTTTATCCCTGACATATATTCATATTTCGGATATCATCGATAAAACAGAAGACGCTTACTCTTCAGGAACACATGTTTTTTTTCTTTGTACTTTTTCAGGTCAGGAGTCTCCGTTGTAATATTAGTTTAGTCATATTTATTTCTTAGTTTGATCGAATTGGATTTGAAATATGATTCTGTGTTTTAATTACTGTATACGTGTACATAAAGGTTAAACAAATAGCTAAAGATTTAAAGCTCGACTTCAAACTTCAGAATGAAAAACAATGATACATAAATACAAATAATAACATATGTTTTCTGTATTACAACAGCTCCTTTTATTGTTGACACTATGAATTGTGTTTTGGCACTCATGACCGTGATGCTGGTCTGTGCGGCAGCGCAGAATCCAGACAGATTCATGGAAAGAATGCTTGCCAAGATCAGACGGGACATGGAAGATACAGCTGTTGGGGAATCGTTGTCTATCGTTGATCGACATGTCAAGAGAGGAGTCAGTCATGGTGATCAGGAAAAATTCGTAGCTGCCCATAATGAAGCCAGACACCGAGCAAGGCCAACGCCCAAGAACGAACCTGACATGGTAGGTTTATGCCATAATTAAGGACATTCTGATTAAACAATTAAAAACATAATTAGTTTTCATCCAATAAAATGTGCAAATCTTACAGATGACAATAAAGCGGTGAAAGAGTCGCAAATTTATATAGGCAATTACAGTTTCCATGTATTGCTTTCTTTCTCTGTGAATGTACCAATTCATCATTGCGCCTCTGTTTTATTTCGGCTATACACTAAAATGGATTTTGCAAAAATAAGTACATTTACAATATGTTATATCGATTCGTGTTCAACAAACTCATTGAAATATGATATATTGATATATTACTTATTCCTGTTTTCCAATACATACCAATCTTTTGCCTCCTTCTACTTTTCTTTTTGTTTGTTTGTCATGTTGTTAATTTTTTTTCAAATTCATGTAGCTGGTGTTGTTACTGTTGAAAATGTGTCAGGTACACAGTAACGAACGTCATGACAGCTGTTTCTGTGCTATTTTATATAGCCTATGATTGATACTACTTTGTTTAACCTAACTAAATATGTATGGCGTTGTTGTACCAAACCAATCATAATGTACGCGTATCAATGGCTGTTTTACTCAGTTACATCATTAATTGTTAATTTGAATCTTTTACGTTTTGAAATTAATGTCTTATATTTGTATGAAGGATTTTAAACGAGTTCCATTTTATATATGATTTTACGAATTTAAGATCTATATTATGATATGATGGATTATGCAGATAAATATAGTATATTTCGTTATTTCGCTGAATACGGTTTGTCCACGAAATCATGCGCTAATGAAATAACATTTATTTCTTAAAAGCAATGAAGTTTTATTACCACGATAGTGTTGAGTGTATGAGTTTATACCCACTCTAGGTCTGGAATGACGATCTTGCCGCTCTAGCTCAGTCCTACGCCGACAGGTGTATTTGGGGACACAATGCCGCTCGTTCTAAAGGGAACACCGGATTCTCCTATGTTGGAGAGAACCTTTTTGTGACCACAGCGCAAGGTGAGAAATTTACATTTAACTGCCAAAAGCACCATAACCTTTTAAAAAATCTTTGTACCGCACTTACATGAACATTGCAACCAGACACACCAAAATATATAACTGTATATCAGTCTAATAAAAAGCAGGTATCTCAGTTCACTTTAAGGTCACGAAATCTCGGTCAATAGAACGCTTAACTTTCCCATCTACAGTGTCACAGGAAGCTGAGATCATCACGCTCAATGTGGTTTATTTCTAATTGCTTACAATGACACACGATGACGTTACTGCATGTTATTCAATTATGTAGCTACATGCTGTTACAAGGAAAAACCTCTTAAAAACGAAACGGACTGTTGGTTGGTCGATAACCTACGGAAGCCTGTACGTACTCTCTGCTCGTAAAATTGAGATAGAGAATTCGTTATTACTATAAAACTTCGATATACCTAGGTAGCTATCTCATTATGACTGGATTACAACATCATTATTACAAAATAGTAAACTTATTCTTACTGGAGAACTACCTAGTTATTACAAAATATTAATCTCGTTATTACTAGATAACTACCTCGTTATTACAAAATAGTAATCTCAATATTGCTAGAAAACTACCTCGTTATTACAAAATAGTAATCTCATTATACAAAGAGTAAGTACGGCAACGTAAAACTGTCACGTGGATTTATTTCAGGATTTATTAGACCATTTCAATATCTACTGTTACATGTATATTTCAGAATCACAAGATCAACATTACATAATACCCAGTCACCAAGGTATTGGCGAGAACCCATACCTAAAATGTTAAATTTTTGAAACAATGTTTTCAATGATAATAAAAATCTTTCTTTACCGAAGATGCACAACCTGATTTAGCCAAAAGCTAATCTCCCTCATGGTAATTCAAGCATTACTGGATCACAAATATCAAAGGACTGTTGATTATTTAATAGCTCAAGAATTAATATGAATTATTAGCAATATGTTGAACCGTGTTTTTCATATCTATGGAATCTAAAATATTAAAATGCAAGTCCCGAATTAGTGGCAACAATTCCAAGGCCTGTATCTTTTCAAATTATTAATATTCTTCTTTCTTTTGTTAGTGTTAATGAGCATCTGAAGATCAAAACTGAAAACACTAATGCTTGCTTACAAATCGTGTTTTTTTGTATTTTATTCTATGGATAAATAAATTTACTATGTATATTGAACACTGTTTAAGCCCATTTGTGTTATCATTGTATAATCTGGTATACATGTGATTATTTTTTGTCAAACTCTCTAATTTTAAGGAGGAGTGGAACCGTCAGCTGCCGTCGAGGCTTGGGAGGGCGAGGTTAAGGATTATCATTACAAAACTCTGAAGTGTAACCCAGGAAAGATGTGCGGTCATTATACACAGGTAAGATATCCTGTCGATGATCATTAAAATTAAGTTAATTTAATATTCTTTGTGAGAAAACGAACATTGAACAAGTGTGTGTTAATCTCTGGTAGGCAGAAATCCAAGACAGGTCGCTTCGTTCGTATTTCTTGGTGACGACAAATATTAATTTTCTTTTGGTTCATTGATATATATTTTCTCGACTAGCGTTGCTGTCATCATCATCCTATTTGAAAAAAAGAAACAATTTCCGTGTTTTAATGCTAAAGTTAACGTGCATATTTGATGACAATAATGAGAAAAAAGTATTGCAATATCATTTTTATCATACAAATATAACTCACTCGTGTATTTATCTCGTAATGTTTGCAAAATTTACCACAACAGAGGCTGTGTCATACGATGGAAAACATTTAACACGGTTCTACAGTCAAACTTTGTTCAACGTTTTGCAGAAAATGACTTTCTATCTCCAAGACTATAAATACATGTCTATATACAATGGTAAAACATATGACGATACTTTGCTGTTTGTTAACAGGTTGTATGGCACAGTTCTACCCATGTTGGATGTGGCGTGAAAAAATGCTCTACTCTCCAAAATAGTCCCATGACAGACGCAACTTTGATAGTTTGCAACTACGGCCCTGGGTAAGACATTTTACTGATTTTTACAATTCTTTGCTTTAAGATCTAGGCCATACCGCCTAATAACATTTCAATATGACCTAATTAGTAAAGTGACCTATATTTTACCTTGACAAGTTGAGACAATATTTACAAATTGTGATAAAACGAAGAAAGTTTAATTGAAATCTTCCTGTATTTGTTGCTAATCAATATTGCTTTACATTTTAGTGGCAATTACCGAGGTGAGGCACCATACGAGACGTAGATCCAGGTAAGCAGATCTTTTTTGCCTTCCATACATTCTTGGAGTATTGGTATAATATTTGTAAATTAATCCTTTAAGACACATATATTGCAACATACAATGAAGATATAACTCTTTTGAAAACGACTTAATATTGAATGAGGAATAATTGAATTATTCAATAAATCCAATTCATTCAATACAATGATATCTTCGCAATATATTTTGTTTTTGTTGATTCTTTTTTGTGTTTATTGTGTTTTTTAAACAATAGAAGTGTTTTGCAATCCAACGAAATCAAATGACATCTCTTCAATTAATATTCTATTTTTGGTAGCTCTTATGTGAACAGTAGTGCTATGTAGGTTGCTGTTTACCTTTCGTATAGATACATTGTTTACACCCTGTTTTTTCAGATGACGAAGTATCAGACTACGTTTGAACGTCGAGATTTTATAGTCAGTATAGCTTTATATATATGTATGTATACAAATATACTGTTTCATTGTAAACAAAATCAACCGTCAATAAATATTTGAATATTTCATGTTATTATTGTTTTATGTGCAATTGAAGCGAATATTCATCACGCTAAGCGTCTGAAACATGCACACTACCAACAACATGTACAATTAAATATTTCAACATTAAATAAATCAAATATCTGAACTGATATTGTCTTTTACAAATTAAGTTCTAAATAATGATCTCATTTGGAAATATTCTCTTCCCTGGTGCGATATCAAGTTGATGCTCGTTAGTATACCTGATGGATCTGTTGTTGATTACATTGCTATCATTTGGAAACGTGAACTGGCTTTCTTGCATTGGCAAAGATCCACATGTCGGAGTCATGGAAGAAGCATAAGACATTTACTCTTCCTGAACTCATCTTTCTCTTTTTAGGAATCTCCGTGTAAATCTTTATTTTGTTCCTTTTTTTATCATAGTTTCATCGTATTTGCCTTTGAAATTAAGATTCTATTTACGTGTCGGTATTTTCTTTATTGTTTTCAAATGTCATGCTTCTAGTATGCAAAATCATCAATAACAGAATGAACGCTAAATAGGCCGCATCAAATGTATAAAAAGTTTATATAAGTCAATCTTAATCACAATGCAATATTTTTGACATATATATATATATACTGAAACGAAAAAGAAACGCCGTGTAACCTAAAAAGATTCTTTTAAATGATATAATTTAATGTTACATTATTTCATTCATTTTTATATACAATTTCATCTGTTTGGAACCATTTGTTGAAGGTTCTATCAATGCTAATTATGCCAAAAATATCCCCCTTTAGCGATGACCCTACTTGTATTGCGCAACACAGCCGGACATTTCAGTATCTTGTGTGTCCTCCATGCGCAGCTGTCGCAGCCCTGATTCTTCTATGCATGGAATTCCTCAGGTGTTAACCCTTGCAATGGGGATGTTATTCCATTCTTCATGCAAGGCACGTGTGAGCTGGACCAGATTAGTGGGGGCATTTGGACGTCTCCTAACTCTCCTATCCAATTCGTCCCACAAATGCTCAATTGGAGACAAATCCGGACTGAATGCTGGCCAATCGATTGGGATTACGTTATTGTTGGCAAGAAATTGCTGACAAACTCTAGCGACATGGGGCCGGGCATTGTCTTGCTGGAATATCAGGTTCCGTGCTTGCACACATGGCACGGCAACTGGGCGAAGGATTTCGTCTCTATACCTTACGCCGGTTAAATTACCGTCAATCACGATCAGGGGTGATTTAAACCCATAGGAGATACCGCCCCAAACACATACTGAACCACCGCCAAACCTATCCCGCTCAGCGACGCACGCGTCGGTGTAACGTTCCCCTCGACGTCGATATACACGACGTCGCCCGTCCGAACGGTAGAGAGTGAACCGGGATTCGTCAGTGAAGAATACCCGTCTCCATTGCCTCATAGGAAAATTTCTGGGCGAGTGTGCTTGTAACCAAGCCAATCGGCGTTGGCGACGCGCAGGAGTTAGGGGCAGACCAACATAGGGACGTCGGGCTCTTAGGCCATTGACGTGTAATCGGTTTCGAACCGTATCAGGATGAATATGGCGGTTATGACTGCCTATAGTGTTATTTGCAGTTTCGGTAGCTGTGAGATGGCGATTACGTAAATGAGAAAGTCTTATAAACCGATCCTGATGTGGCGTCGTGACGCGCGGACGTCCACTTCGCGGTCGGTCGATGACCCTCCCCGTCACTCGCACACGTTGGACAAGACGTTGAATTGTCCGAATATGCACACCAAAATGTGCAGCAACCTGAAGTTGGCCCTGACCCTGCAAAAGCATTCCTATAGCCTGTCCCCGCTGGACTTTCGTCAATCGTGGCATGGATGTAAATTGCTTAATTCGAATTTGAACAGTATCAAATAGACTGAAAATTTCCATTGGCGAACTCAATGACCTTCCCGTGTACGGAGCGCGGAGGTCAGGTATTTTGTGATTTTAAACACGTGTACCTAGTGACCGCGAACAACACATCAACCTGACCGAGTGTCATTATTCTAGGCCAAGCAATAAATCATTTGTAGTATGTTTAGTGTACCCGGCGTTTCTTTTTCGTGTTAGTATATATATATGATAAGCTATTTCGTTACTCCGCCACAGTAGTAAATCAAATGCGACGTTACTATATGAAGTCGGTGGTTTATGTTGTGGGTTGATATAAATAGTCAAAGGTAACACCTGTTATATAGAGAATTAAAATCTCAATACATATCTTTTATTATATTGACGATCACTGTCTCTTCACTACGACTCATGGAATTTTTATTGTTTTTGATCACTGCTGTGCGATTTCAATTTTATTTATTTATGATAAATTTTCGCTAGGTTTATGGACAATTGATTTGTTCATACCCATAGGAGCTAAATATGCTTCTATGTTACCAGACTTAAATTAAGATTTTCAGAACTTATAACCTCCATTTAATTTCATTTTAAGATGATTCAATAAATCCTTTTTTTGCGAGATCTCACCCAGGTAGTTATCAACTTATTTGATCATGTACCCGACGGAACCGTCACATATTCTATTTCGTGTTTGTAGACTATGTAATGAACAGTTTAACCAAATCATTCCTATCTCCGAAGTTTATGTGGAGTTATCTAAAGGTTGCTTTGAGAGGTTTTATTCTGCATACACTTTAATTACATATTTAAATTGAATCGAAAAAATACGTTTTACCAAAGATCTATTTAAAAAGTGAAAGGAAAATAAATCACAATCATATTTAAAAATGCCTGAAAATTCTTTTTGGTAATTTGACTTCATTTCAAACAAGACTTTGGAAAAACCATTACCCGAATATACATTGTGGGCGTTCGCCAGGCCTTCCGTAGTGCACATCACTCGACTCTTAGCACGTGCTTCTAAATGACCGATTTCTACACAAGATAAAAAAAATACATCAATAACATAAATGTGAAATGTGTTAAATTGTTACAAGTTCCGAAACACTGAAAACGAGTACACAACTTTATATGCATGCAATTTAAATCATTTCCAGATGTTGCTACCGAAATGCGTCAGACAAATGTACCAGTTGACTGTACTAAATCACGTTCACAGTATCACGGATGTATGCATTTAAATTTATGATTATAATCTATAACTGCAAGTGACATGAACATGAAAAACAAATTTTACTCGAATATGTTTTGACCCTGTAACCCTGTAAAATATACACCTACGGACAGATACATAAACAAACACATATGCTTATACAGGGACAAACACACATGCTCATACAGGGACAGACACAAGTTCTCATATAGGGACAGACACAGGTTTTCATACTTGGGCAGACACGTGCACATACAGGGACAGACATACGTGCACATACAGGGAAAGTTACAAGCGTACCTAGACAACCAAACAGTCAGAAAAACAATTACACTGACCATTACATGACAAGTATAACATTCACACATAGACTTTATTGGGTTTATATATTGCAAAATGGTTGGAAAACTCTAAATCTTGTGTTTGTTCAGGAGTGTGCTTGTGTAGTCTATAGTTGGACACTTGCCTTCAAACCAAGTACACATTCAAGACTTCCCACTTGGGTAGCCACTGATGTTCTCCCTCCGAATCTCTTAAGTATTCACCGGTATGTCGTTTTAATACCCCTTCCCCCTCGAGTACCCACTGGTAAGACTGTATCTCGCTAGCTATACTCTATTGCCTCATCGTTTTATCCGGTCCCGCTGTGACCGGGTGGTTAAGCCCTACGTGGGACAATCTTCAGGTACTGACCACAGGTCAGTGAATTTTCTCCAGAATATCTGCCTTTCCTCCACCATCCAAACCTGGTAGTCTTTTAATGACAACGTAAAGCAGCAATAAACCAATCAGTGTTTTAATTATGAATTTATAACGTTTCAATTAGAATTAAAATTGTGACATCACTCTTAATTTGATTACAAATGGCCATACATTCTATATCAGCTCAGCATATGAAGTTGTTTTCCGCGCAAGATACATGCTACGGACTTCCTTTATGCTGTTAAGTAGGGTAGACATCAGCTGCTACACTGAGAGTCCACCTAAAAGACAATGACGGTTCATCAGTCGATGCATTTAATCCAAGAAAACAGACAATAAATGAAAACGGCTCCATATGACCCCTGACTGTTGCGAGGACATAAATAAACTTACAAAAGAATCAAGAAAGCGCCGACGATTCTCCGTTTTGTAATAAACACAAACATGTCTCCTTTATACTGATTTTCAAACGGTACAATTTGATCAAAGATGCGGGATTCTTTTATCTTAGACTGTTATAACATAAGCAGTGTTGATGGAAATTTTGTCATGCAGTGTTTTCTTTTCACTTTATACACTTAAACAGATACTGATACTATACATTGCATTATGGGGATTTCTAAAATGGGATTTCCCAAATCCCTGGGTCTTTTAAATGTTGTCATATGCATACTGTTCATCACTTGTTGGTAGAACGACTTCCAAGCAGTTAACGCC